TTGAGAGACAAAATGAGAAGAAAAACCATCTAGAAAATCACATCTGATTTTTAAAGAATTTATTTGCAAATTATGGTGGAAAATAAGTATTTGGTCAGCTACAAACAAACAAGATTTCTGGCTCTCACAGAAGATGAAACGTGGCTGGGTCTTTCAACATGACAATAGCCGCATTCACACCGCAGGACTTTCCCTGGTACTTTGGTTCTTTAGCTCCGTTAGTACCAATAATGTCGCGTTCACACCGCCGGACTACCGCGCGGGCAACGAAGGAGTGGCTTCGTAAAAAGCATTTCAAGGTCCTGGAGTGTCCTAGCCAGTCTCCAGATCTCAACCCCATAGAAAATCTTTGGAGGGAGTTGAAAGTCTGTGTTGCCCAGCGACAGCCCCAAAACATCACTGCTCTAGAGGAGATCTGCATGGAGGAATGAGCCAAAATACCAGCAACAGTGTATGAAAACCTTGTGAAGACTTACAGAAAACGTTTGACCTCTGTCATTGCCAACAAAGGGTATAACAAAGTATTGAGATGAACTTTTGTTATTGACCAAATACTTATTTTCCACCATAATTTGCAAATAAATTCTTTAAAAATCAGACAATGTGATTTTCTGGATTTATTTTTCTCTCTTTTGTCTCTCATAGTTGAGGTATACCTAGGATGACAATTACAGGCTTCTCTCATCTTTTTAAGTGGGAGAATTTGCACAATTGGTGGCTGACTAAATACTTTTTTTCCCCACTGTACCTGAGTCTTGCTTGTGTCCACCTGGTGAATGTTAAATCCAATATTTAGCTTCTGGGGAAATGAAGCCGTTTATGAATAAAAAACAGGGAAAAAACAACAGACCAGAATACTGTTTTATTTTTTCATTGTTCAGAGTTGTTGGAAATCGTCAAAAGGACATAAAACAGATACATGATGGCTCTGACCGCCTTATCCTGGACTGTACGAAGTGTGAGGAAAGGAAAAGGCTACAGATCTGTTCAATCATGGATAGATGGGCTCCAGGACCCATACATGACAGATAACCCTCACCCCCCCACCACGACATCAGACCAACACCGACTGAAACTGAGATTTTCTGAACATCAGATCGCTATTAACAATAACAATCTTGCAATGACCTTTCTTTATGATAAGGCTAATCAAGGATCAAAAATAGTTTGAATGTTGTGGATGCAAACTATGTCCTGATGTTTTTATTTAACGACTTATCCAAAATAACATTGTCAAACTCATTTGGTATAAGATAAATCATCTGAATACTGTTCTGTCCAATCCACCACATCATCAGCATCTAGGCAGAGTCCATTAAATGGTTAAAGTAACATTAAACCACGATTTAAAGGACATTTTAGAGAATAATTCTTGTGGTTCTACCTGACAGACGTCTGGGAATCTTATTTAGTGTTATTCAGTGTTTTTGTAGAGGATCATAAGCATGATGGTCTGTGTTCGATGCCTCTTCAGCTGCAGGGCTGCAACTATTGGTTGATTTGAAAACCTGAATCGGCAAATATTCTACCTATTCAACAAACATGCCAATCCTACTGCTTTTACATTTTTATATTATTCAAAGCTGAGTTACTTTGTGTTGTTGGATACACCAAACAGCATGGGATGTTGTTTGCTATTTCGCAAAGACAGTAATAAGCAGATATCTGATAATCAAAATTCTTGTTAGTTGCAGCAACTTGCTGCTCAAAATGTTGCCATAATTCATTAAAGTAGTCTTGACTTTTGAAAATGTTTAACACCAGGGGTTACACTGCTGGAAGAAAACGGTAGTAACGGCTAACAGGATAAATTAAAGTGATAGTTTGACAGCTGTTTTGGAAAAGTTTCATTTACTCTGCAGGTTTTATTCTGCCGCTGGAATGTAGAGCAGGAACCTGCCGTTGGAGGAACCTTTGGCTCTTGCAGGTTTTAACCTGTGACGTTTTTTTTCTGGCAGCAGGATAACAACTCCAAAACTAACACTCAAATGTTGACGTGCAAATCAAAAGGTCATTCAGACTTTGATCAATTGTAAAAAAAACTGTGAGTCTGTAAACAAAGGCTTAAACTGATTATTGTCTTCTTTTTTTCTTACACATTTTGTAAAATAGAAGGCAGAACACAACAGCATTGTACCATCATAGAATGTATCTGTCTCATTCTTCTGAAAATAGGATTTAGATATATTTCCAATCGTACACAAGCACCCTTCATGTATTGTCACTTCTTCAGGATTGAAACAACTCATTCATTATTTTTCCTCTTCATGTTGAAAGTACCATATAAAAAAGGTTGACATGCACATTCTCTCCTCCAGCCCGCAGAAAGGAAAAGTCCCACAGCCGTAGATTAAGCATTTTTGGCAGAGTGGATTATGGGTTAAAAGCATATTCATCCTTGTGTTAACCTAATTTGTGCAAGAAGCTGAGATTCCTTCCTTTTAGCTTGTTGAAATTTTATTTGTTTTATAAGGAGAAAAGGAGTGTTTTTAAGCTAAAGCTAATTTACTACTGTCTATCAATTTGAAACAGGATGTGATTATTTTCTGGAGGAAACCCAATTAATAACAGCTCTGACAAGAAAATGCTTAACTAAGTACAGCACAATTGAGTATCTCTGGCTACATCCATTTTGATCAATTTTCTATTTTGAGTCAATTGTTTTTGTAGGAGTGCAATACTACATCAGCGGAGTCATGCTCATATATTTTTTGACAAAAAAACTGCGATCCGATTCTCAGACTCAGATCTGTCCTCTCTAAGGACCCAGCCTCTCAGGCAGCAGTCATAAGGTACACCAGAGAACCTTGACCTGAGGGCGACTTTGAGCCCTGCAGGTACCTGCACTCTGGAAACACTCCACACTCTCAGAGTTGTGTATTATTTACAAACCTAATAAAGAAAGGAGAGTAAAATAAGAAGCTGCTTACTCCTGAGAAGATGTCATGAAGCCAAAAGGCTGTTAATCCAGGGAAAAACCCCAAACTGTCCAAACTCGTCCCATCAATGGCTCTGGGGCCTCCAGCCATTCCTTATAATAATTAATATTAATATTCTCACATCTCTCAGCTGCAGACACCGCAATGTACCAAACATCGTCCCTCTCTGTCAAAAAGTACAGAAGGTAAACTTACAATCAACTTAAATCCCAACATTGTTTTAGTGAGAAAACAAAACATAGACTTACCCAACACACACAAGCACGCATACATGTTGATAAAAGACAGTGATAAAATAAAAATAAATCAACAAATGCACTTTTAAATGAGAGAAAACAACTAATCCCATAGATGCATGAAAGGAAGCCAAACCCTTAGCTCACACACAAAAACGTACACACATAAGAAATAAACTGATTTAAAAACACTTCCCATGAGTATTTGGGCTCTGCTGACTCTCCAGTATTGGCTTGCCAGCGATGACATCGGCGTCCTGATCAGAGTCCAGTGGAGTGTCTTGTAAAAAAGTAAATGGAAGAAAATACCCTTCTTTCCCCTATGAGGGTATGTATAAGGGTCAAAGGTCATGGGTGAAGAAGCAGTCGGTGCAGGTGACAAAAGACATGTTGTCACCTTGAGACAAAAGAAGGGAGAGAAGACTGCTGTCATGTGACCCAGATAGCAGCCACTGCTACCCTCCTGTGTACAAGAGGAGAAGAAAAAGGGAACAAAAGAGAGGAAGAAGGGATGATGGGTAGAGAGAGACAGCAGGAGGGACACAGAGAGGGACAGAGAGAGAGAGGGACAGAGAGAGAGGGAGAGAGGGACAAAGAGGGGGACAGAGACACAGAGAGGGACAGAAAGAGACAGATAGAGAGAGGGACAGAGAGAGAGAGGGAGAGAGGGACAGAGAGAGAGACAGAGAGAGGGACAGAAAGGGACAGAGAGCGGGAGGGACACAGAGAGGGACAGAGAGAGAGAGGGACAGAGAGAGGGACTGAGAGGGACAGAGAGAGGGACAGAGAGAAACAGAGACAGAGGGAGGGGCAGAGGGAGGGACAGAGAGAGGGAAAGAGAGAGGGACAGAAAGGGACAGAGAGAGGGAGAGAGAGAGGGACAGAGAGAGAGACAAAGAGAGGGACAGAGAGAGAGACAGACAGAGAGAGAGAGGGACAGACAAGGGGAGGGACAGAGAGAGGGACAGACAGGGGGAGGGACAGAGAGAGAGAGAGACAGAGAGAGGGACAGACAGGGGGAGGGACAGAGAGAGAGAGAGAGAGAGAGAGAGAGAGGGAGGGAGGGAGTGGACAGAGGGAGGGACAGAGACAGCGAGGGGCAGACAGAATGTTGAGTGGGGGGCTAGCGGTTGTTCTTGGCAGCCTCCTTGGCGGCCACGATGAGAGGAGTCATACTGGAGAGGGGCTTCGCCATCTTCAGGAACTGATGCTGAGGAGAGTAAGGGGAAGAGAAACAGAGAGGATGGGGAAGGAGAACGGAGGGAAGGCGGCAGAGGGAACAGAGGGGGGGCAGTATGGAGGTGGAGAAAGGAGAAGTATCAGTATATTAGTTCACTGTGTAAAAACAGAGAAGACAGAAACACAAGGCACCTTTTCATTGAATTGACACTCTTCGTAGGACTTCTCCACACACAGTTGCCCCTTCACTCTATACACTTGTGTGTGAGAGTAAATTACTTCAAATATTTAAAGGCGACATATCGTACGATTGTCCATAGTTAATGCAATATAAATCATATATTTACTCCGTTGTTTAAATGTAACTTAAAGGTGACCTATCATGCAAAATGCACGTGTACGTCTTTTATACATGGATATGTGTCCCCGGTGTTCCAGGGAACTCACCAAGTGTCAGAAAACAGAACCCTCTCTATTTTCCTCCATACCCAAATCTCTTAAAAAGGGACTGCAACGGATCTGATACAGACTGATCCAGATTTGAACACTTCTATGACGTCACAGAAGTGGCGCTACGGCTATTGGGCCAACCCCACCAATCAGGAGGAGACAGCCACGGACATTGCCGTTCGAAAGCGCTGGAGACGCTGTAGTACATATTCCAGGCCTGTAGATGGTGCTATATTATTCAAATATAGCATGATAGGTCCACTTTAAGGAAGATTTTTCCAAATAGCAAAGATAGTAGTCCATACCAATACCAGTTACATTTGATTTGTGTTTCCCAATTCAATACATACAAATGTTGCTATTTGCTTTTAAATATTAGCTTTGATTAAAGTGTGCTAAGGATTACACCTAAACACATTGTGATGCTGTTTTAATACCTAAACAGATATTGAAACTTTCATTATGTAACTCAATAGGGACTGGCTTTGTTAAAGTCATTAGCTCTATTATTTAGCCCACAGGCTGCTAACAGCTAACAGTAACTTGCTCCACTCTTATAGACCCACTTATTTGGGCATTAACACACCCAAAGTCTGCTTGACTAGATTTGGCAAAGCTGCTTTCAAAAAACTTTCACATTTTTGAACTAAACAGAACACTAGAATATGTTTCTGAAAATAGGTGAGAAATTGACTTTGAATCAACCTTTAAAAAGGGTCACTTCAGACAACAAGGACTCTGTGAGCACATCAAATCAAAAGGAGTCTAACATTGAATGCCTTCTTTAACAGACTCCTTCTCAAATATGATAAAGTTCCAGTTTCCCCTCTCAGCTGAGTCATGGTACAGTTACACAACTCAGTTACACCCCCCACCACCACGTCTCCACACCTGTCTGTCTGTCTGTCTGTCTCAGTGGACAGCTGACACACACACACACACACACACACACACACACACACACACACACACACACACACACACACACACACACACACACACACACACACCTGCAGCAGCTCTTTAGCCGAGCCTCTCTTCTCCACGTCCATCTCCAGACATCGGGTCAGAAAGTCTCTAAAGGTCGTCGACAGCTTCTCCGGGTTCTGCAGCTCCGGAGTCCCGTTGGTTGCTATAAGATACAGCGCCTAGGTAACACACACATGTTAGCAACATGTTAGTGTGCATCGCATGCAGCACAGGTATGCATGATTCACAACTAACCTCCACTCAGGTTAAGAGTCTGGGCACACTTTCTTTCAAATCTCACATCACTCGGTCTGCCTATTTTCATCTACGCAACATCAACCGCCTCCGCCCGTCCCTTAACCCTAAGCACCGCCGTTCTTGTTCACACCCTGTTCACTTCCCGCATTCACTACTTCAACTCCCTTCTCTTTGGTCTCCCTCTCAAATCCATCCACTGCACCCCCCTTCCGTTTAACCACCATGGGGTCTAGAACCTTCTGCTTCTGCCGCTCTGCACCCCGCCTCTGGAACTCTCTCCCACCTGACATCCGCAACACTGACTCTCTCCCCATTTTCAAATCACGTCTCAAAACATATCTCTTCACACTCTCATATCTACCATGATCATTATCCATCACACATCCAATGTTTTATTTATTTTATTTTTTATATACTGCATTGTCTTGTTTATGTTTTTTATGTCGGTGTTATGTATTGTGTATCTTGTTTTTTTGTATGGCGACCTTGAGAATGAATTATTATTATTATTACATTACATGTTACTTGTTAGATGCTTTTATCCAAAGCGACTAACATACTCAATACTGTGGGCAATCCCCACAGGAGCAATTTGGGGTGAAGTGTCTCAGGGACACAACGACATGCTGACTGCAGTGGGGTTTGAAGCTGTGCTCCCCTGATCCCAACACCAACGCCCAACCCACTGCACCACACGCCTCCCAACTACAACTATGTATAGAACATATATGTCTGTGTTAAACAGTTTACGGTAAAACACTGCTATGACAATATGTATCCTAATAATCTAAATATAACACTCTGATAACTAAACAATTCCCTTTTTATAACACCTTGTTAAATATGTAATCCCTAAATATAGTTTAGACCCACTTAGTTTCCAAAGAGAAATATCTTCTTATGTTTAGTCTGACATGATATTTACTGTAAACACTATTGACTCTCAAAAGTGTATTCCTCTCTATGTTTTACAGCTTCTACTGACTATCTTCCCCGACAGCTCCTCTTCCTCCCCCCTGCAGTAACCACACTCTCACCCTCAGGGGGTTTTCGTTCAGGTACGGCGGCTCCCCCTCCACCATCTCTATGGCCATGATGCCCAGAGACCAGATGTCCACTTTGGGGCCGTAGGCTTTGCGGGTCACCACCTCTGGAGCCATCCAGTAGGGAGTCCCCACCATGGTGCTGCGTTTACTCTGCTCCGGAGTGATCTGAGCGCAGAACCCAAAGTCAGCTGTAGGAGGAGAGAGAACAGAGTGAGTTTTTATGCATATACAAAGTTTAAAGGTCACCATCAATCTGTAACACTCTGTGATATATTTCAAAGGTTTTGCTTGAAGGTCATGCACTAGTTTGAGCTCATTGACAACCAAACACACCTAAGTGGTAAGTTATTGCATTAAATGAACACCAAACCAACAAATCATCAGTAAATGAATGCAGCAAGTGGGCCAAAAGTGTCAACGAACAGACATATTTGGCCTCTTTGAAAAAGTTGAACATTTACCAAGTTTATAATAATCATAATTTTATATCTTAAAGACTCATGTTGAGTTTACAATTCTCAGGAAAATCCAAGTTAAAATGTTATTTATTATTACACTCTGTCCATGGTAGTTAGACTCAACTTAAATACTGGTCACAGTAGAATCAGAGCGCCCTCTGCTGGTCATGACAAGCAACTTCAACAACAATCTTACCCAACCTCAAAGCAACAGTGGTGTACAACAATAGATTAAAGGTCCCATGACATGGCCATTTCTACTGATCATAATTTCATTGTTGAGGTCTACTAGAATAGATTTACATTGTTCAATGTTCCAAACTCACATTGGTTTCTCATACAGCATCTCTGTAATGTATGTGTATTCACTCTCTGTCCTACACGCCTTGTTGTAGCTCCTGCCCCCCCCCCCTTCCTATGAGCCCAATGTGCTCTGATTGGTCAACCTGGCTGTGAGTGTGTGTGTGTGTGTGTGTGTGTGTGTTTGCGGAGATCCACGGAGCCGCGGCTGAGAAAAGATAAGGCTGAGTGAGTGTGTGTATGTGTTTTTTACTCGCTACAGGGTGTACTTTGATGGTTTGTGACTTTGCAGTCCGTTTACATGCAGGAAAAGCTTCATCACACACAAGGGGACGGGTAATAACCAGAAAAGCATGTCATGGGACCTTTAAGAAGTTATACATGTCTTTTAATAAATATGACCCAGACTCACTGAGTTTGACGGAGCCATCCATGCCCAGCAGGATGTTGTCGCTCTTAATGTCTCGATGGATGACCTGGTTCGAGTGGAGGAACTCCAACGCCTGGAGACACTGAGAGACAGACAGGGAGACAGGCATAGTTTATATTACTGTTAAAAATATTTATATTAAATCAGAAAAATAACAGTCAGGACACATGTTTAGGCAGACACATAGAGACAGAATGATGACAGTGATGAGGTCAAAATGAGCCTTAAAAATCCTCCCATGTCCCGTGTCTCTTCTTACCTCTCTGCACACAGCAGCTATCTGGGCTTCATCCATGCAGGTCTCCGTGACGACGTCAGTCAGCGACCCTCCGGCCAGGTACTCCATCACAACCCACAGCTCGTCTCCAACCAGGTAACTGTGGGAAACATCACAAACATGCAGGTACTTATATGATGTACATCTTTTGTGTTTCAATAACAACAAGACATTTCTTCAGTCATCAGACCCTATAATAAACATACACAAATTAAAAACTAAAATCTTCTTGTTTTCAAATTTTTACCAGTATTATATAATAAAATGTTCTGTGCATTGTGGACATATTTAACAAGCCAACGCTGCATTTTTCTTCAACCCCAGAGCTACGGGTCAGTTCCCCTTTATTTGTTAGACTTTGGAAATTAGGACAATTATTTTCAAATGTTGGTAAGAACACATTCTTAATATGTCTGTAGTTTCCACATTTAGTTAGAATGACTACTTGTGTCTCTTCAGCTCCCCAGTGACAGCACCGTCTGAAAAAATTTACAGTCGCACAGTAAATCAGAGAGAGTTAAATGTTGTTTCCATGGGGATGACAGCATTATTACCAGTCCTGCTGGTGCTCCTCAATGTCTCTCAGGACAAACGGGTAACTACGGTAACTACACCCACTCCATAAATGTCTAGACTGTTGGCAAGGCAACAGCAACACTGAACATGATAAAGCCTTTCAACAGGGTTCAGTCTGATTAGCTCCCACTGATCCTGAATCCTCTGGATCATCTCCCATGTTTCCGTAGAATATTTGGTGTCCAATTTTTCCAGCAGATTTTGTTTTTCAACTTGCTTTACATATATACTGCATTCAATATATTTGCTGTGAGAACAACATTTACAGCAGGATGTCAGATGAGTGTGAACCTGCCAACTGAAGATATTCCACCAACCTTTAAAGCTGCAGCCTGTTCGATCTGTGTGTGCGTGCGTGCGTGCGTGCGTCTAACCTGTCTAGGTAGTTGACAATGTTTGGATTCTTATTTTCCCTCATCACAAGGATCTCATTGATGATCAGTTCCTTCTTGGGCTGCTGCTGCAGGTTCATCTGTTTAATGGCCACCTGAGAGATGAGAGGATTATTGGACTTTCTCATAACTATGCAAATAAGTCACACATATTTCAAACGAAACTGAGAGCAGAGAGGGTGGAGAAAGTGGGGGGTAAAATAAAATAAAGAAAGATGTACGAGTAAATTGAAAGAGAAAAATAAGGTGGGAGGGAATAAAATACGTCAAAAAGGGAAAATGTAAAAGAAGTGAAGACAGACAGTCAGAGGGACGTCTCTAAATCTGAGGCAGTGAAAGTGAGCACACACGATGAGACCCTGACCCAGCAGACCAGCTCCTCTGAAGTGACCCTGGAGGTCCCAGCTGGTAAACCCTGTTACTGACACAATGTTCTCACTACCTGCTGTCTGCCTCACTTTATAGGTCCCAGATTTCTAGCCTCTTCCCTAACCCCTCAGAATTTTAAAAGAGGGATTCACTTTGGACTTTATTTCTCTATAAAAAACCTGCTACAGACTCTGGTCCTTCAGCTTACATTTATTTTTAATTTTTTTATTTAACCTTTATTTAACCAGATAAAAAGCATTGAGATACAATCTCATTTACAATGCTGACCTGGCCAAGAAGGAAGCAACGTTACACATAACACATAACACAAACATATAAAATACAGAGAACATAACTAAGAAAACAAAAGACGAAAAAAGCAGTTACTACATTGTGCACATTAGGACAGTAAGAAAGGCACTACTTATTACTGCAAGAGCAGCTGGTGGTAAGGACTTCTGACAACTTCAATTTAAAACATGCTATAGAGACAAGAGCCGTCAGTTTGAGGCGTGATTGAAGGTCATTCCAAGACCAAGGACCATAATAAAAGAGACTCCTTTTTCCAGCCTTAGTCCGCACAGCAGGAACCTGGAAACGTATCCAGGCACTGGATCTGAGGTTGTAAAAGTCACAAACTGGAGCAAATCTGGCACATATGTACAGTGGAAGCTTTCCTAAAATGGCTTTATACATTCATAAAAACCAATGCTGCATCCTACGCATAGTGAGTGAGGACCATCCAGTTAGGATATACAGTGTGCAATGATGAGTCCTATAGGATGCATTTGATATATAACGCAGTGCAGCATGGTAGAGTGGGTCAAGTTTGGCCAAGACAGTGGGACAGGCAAATCTATAAATGGTATCACCATAGTCCAGCTGGGACATTAGCACTGTCTGCACACCTCTGTTGTCTGTCCTGACTCTACAGACAACGGAGGTGATTTTAGATATGAAGGCTAGATGTCACATGTTATTAAGCTCGATCACGATAACAGTAATGATCATTGGCTCAATGAACCTGTCCTCCTAAGTAAATATACTAAGAACCAACCCAAGGCGAGAGGCAAGAAACACAACAGTAAGTTTTGATTCTGATATTATTTAGAAGGCTTGTATGTGGAGTGGCAGTGACTGAGTGTCAAAATTGTACTGATTTTTATTCTGACTTATTTCATTCTATTTCATTAATATTTTACTACCTACATCCTATTTTTTTCAAAAACTAGATCCTACTGTGGGATTAATCTCCACTTTAGCAGCATAGCTTTATGGATGGCCCCCTTTCTCCACTTTTTTCATTCTTTGAAGGATCACCATAATATTACAGGACAGGAATGTCTGTAGGTTTTAGTCTTGTAACTAAACATTATCTTCAAGTTTATCCAACATGTCCTGATTAGTGAGAGTCCCCTCAGAGCACAGAGGGAGGACGGGGGGGCACACACCTCCTGTCCTGTAGCGATGTCTATGGCTGTGTACACCGTCCCAGACGCCCTGTGAACACACAGCAGAGCACAGATACACATTAGGTCAGATTAATTCAACTTAACATTAATTTCAGTGATTTTAACTGATTCATACTGTAAACGTATACCTTCCAAATAAAGTTTGTGTAAATGGTCAGAGCACATTCTGCACACACACAGCCTACATGAAATTCTAAAGTAGTGCTGTATAGAAACAATGTTCCAAACTAATAAGAACTTTTTGTATAAAACATGTTGAGGGTTAAATGCACTGTCTTTATTAAAATAAAAAAGTATGTGGTGGTGTGATTTGGACCCCTGTGCTATTGAATTTGGATAACCTATGATAGTGTTAGGGTGAGTGAAGCAGGCAGGAACCAAATGCTGAATAAACTGAAAAAATACCTTTATTTCAAGGATTTAAGGAACAAAACAGAACACTACCTTGTGAACACAGTCAACGACAAACAATGAACCAACAATGACAGACAGAAAAACCAGAACTTAAATACACACAAGACTAATCACACAAACAAGACACAGGTGAGGAGGGAGGAGAAAACACAGGGGCACCAGGTGAACACAATCAGGTAATCAGGTAGGAGGGAAAACAGACAGAAAGCGACAGGCAAGACAGGGGGTGAAGACTTTTCAAAATAAAACATGAATCCAAAGACAGAAAAAGACAAGACAAAACACAACACATACAGATTGTGACAGATAGATTGGAAAAACGTGCATTACCTTGACCCAAACCAAACGAAAAGCTGCTTTACCAGATGTTACGTTGGGTTTAGAATATTAAAGATTCTCAAAGAGTAATACAAACACTTGTGGGCCTGTTTTCGTTCATGTCAATCTTCTGAAATCTTTCTTTGCACAGCGAAAGCTCTTTCTACATAATGTAAAGCCAAACTTCATTATCTCATGAGAGTTGAGTGAGTGAACTGATCACAGGAGCCTCAACATTCTGACTCAGCAGTTTTATCACTCACCCCTGTCCAATCTTCTCAAAGCGTGTATACTTCTTCTTGGGGTCTCCCACACTTACGATGGTCCCTGAGAAAGACAGAAAAAGAGTCTCTTATTGACCGGTCGTAACGAGCAGTAAAGTATGAGGAGACAGGAAGTCATGTCCTGTAACTTCCTGTTCCCTGAACCTACAGATCTGAATTGATAGAACAGCTGACTTTCTATCCATCCACAGTGAGCTCTATGGTCATCACACTCAGGTCAATGCAGCATGCTGACCGGGAGAGGGAGCAGAGAGAGAGAAGAGGAGCTACACAGAGAGAGAAAGATGGACAGAAGGAAGGAGACAAAGATTTAACCCGTCAGAAACTAAAAGGAAAAGTACAGATAGTAAAGAAAAAGTTTAAAAACAAGAAGTAAGAGTGATGGAAGGAAGAAAAGTAGTAAAACTGAAACAGCTTGGACACTAAGACACAGACAGAAAGAAATTAAGGAAGAATTAGAAGTAACAAAAGAAACAGACTGGAAAGGAAATAAAAAAACAGAGGAGAGGAGGGGGCTAGATTATGAAATAAAAAATAGCTGAATAAACAAAAGAAAAGCAAGGAGGGATGAAAGGCAGAAATTAATAGCTTAGACTCAGTGGATCAGTGTGCTGATCTTCCGATCAGAAGAGCGCTGGTTAAATCCCAGCGGCAGTCAGCATGTGTCTGAGGCCTGAGTGTATGTGAGTTGGGTAAAAAGCATCTAACGAGGGACATGTAATGTAATGAAGTCAGGAAGAAAGGTAGAATGAAGAGATGAAAGAAGTTAGAAGTAGACATGACAAAGATAGAAAATAATCAGAAAAAGGGCGAAAAACAATGGAAAGGGAGGAAAGAGGGGATCAGCTCTGAGTCAGTTCAGTAATCAGAGCCAACAGGCAGTGATTAGAGGACAAAACTCTGTCTCTCTGTAACCACAGGAGACTGGACAATGGAGAGAGAGGACCACCAATCAGACGTGAGGATTGGACATTGGGGGCGGGGACAGTGGATATCAGGTCTGTCAATCGGAGATACAGACAGGCAGTATCCTAGTCTTACCAGCAGAGGGAGATCTGAGCACATCTGGATAGGCGTGGGGCGAGGTTCAGAAAATATACAGGCTTTATTACAAATACACAACAACAGTTCAATGTAGGGGGGGTTGTTCAAAATGTTATTCTGAAGGGTTGATGTACGACTGTCCAACTATACCAACATTTAACTGTGGGCAATACATGGCAATAAAAGTTAAACATTTATAAATGTATTATCTAGGTTAAATGGTGTTAAAAATTAAACGCGACGTACCAAATTCATAATTTCCATATTATAACTCATCATTTATCACACAAACTTGATTCTGTTCCTGAGTGTTGGTGCTTGTCAACTTATTGAGAATAACTTTCAGAGACTAATGCGACTGGGTGTGAAGCTTCAAATGCTATAACAAGAAAGGAAAACTATGAATGAATATCAAACATGTTCACACCGGCTCCTCCTTCCTGTGAGGGAGGTGCAGGACTTTGAGAGGAGAACCAGTGATTTCTGGGTTGGCTAGAGTTTGTACTGGCATATGATTTGATTGGCTAACGCTTCTGTCGAAGCTTCAAAAGTAGAATATTGCTCTACTTTTGAAGCGAGCAACACGAAGCGACGCAACCACAATGCAGTTCGGCAAAGTGTGACGTCACCACATTCAAAGTGAATGGGCAGAAGCGTTGAAGCTTTAACGCACGCCACCGTGTGGACGGGCTGTGACGTCAGAGTCTAACTCCCGCCTGATCCAAATAAGGCAAAAGAGGCGGGACCTACTGCCACCGAGCTGGAAGTTCCAGAGCTAGCTCAGGTTAAGAAGCTAGGCCAACATGAAATACATGCATACCAAGTTACTGCGTCGCACTTTGGTTTTGATAAAACAGTGTAGTTCCACTATATAAACGTTAAATTCATAATCAAACGAGACAATCTGCAAGATAATTAGCTCTTTTTTGTTATTCTTAATGCTTGTCATTCACATGTTAATAAAATAAAATAAGTACCGATACATACAGATGTAGCACTTCATTTCAGACTCCAGCTTACAGCTTCCTGCCTACGACCTGCCTAAAACCAGTATAGAGGAATGTTAAGCCCTATTTTCCAAGAGGGCGTTGCCAGATTTTCAATTTCAGGTTTTAACCAGGAGATTGCGCTTCATTCACAAATACAGAAAGACAAGTTTCATGGACTTTCAGTTGTGTTTTGAAGAGCATTTGAAAACATCAATATTTTAGATCAACTAAAGTATATCTAATCTTGTAATTCAATAATATATAGTCTTTATATATCAAATAATCATAATTAATAATGTAAATGTTTACATTACACTTCTTTATTTGTTATGCTCATACTTTTACCTTTACAATCGTTTGCTTTAATATGCAGTATATTTTTTGTATATTTTTGTGTTTGCTTCCTCCTGCTCCTTTTCGGACACATACTGTATGATTTATTATTATTATTAATATGAAGATATTATTAAGATAATATAAGATGTTACTTTATTGATTGAACATTTTAGTTTAGAATGTGTTGTCCCACGGTAATTCAGAAGGCTCACAGGTCACATTCCGACCATTATTTAAAAACAATAGGTGCTTTCACACCGTCTACAGTTTGATTTGTATAGAGGGAGCTCTGTGGCCAGTGTTCGAATTACCCATTTGCTTTCGGGGAGCCCT